TGCCTCAGTCTCCCAGAGCACTGGGATTACAGGTGTGCACCACCGTGCCTGGTGGGAGAAAGATTTTTCAATCACAATGAAATTTTCAGCAAGCTAACTTTGAGGGAAGGTGAATGAATGGGGGAAAAGCTCCCAGGAAGAGTCTGAGGCTGTGTGGGAAAGCGAGGGAGGGGTGGGACAGGGATTTGGGACTTCCTGGCAAGTTCTTTCGGCCCAGACCTCTAAGGAAGCAGTAAAGAAGGAGAAGCAACACCTGACAGTAGAGGGAACATTTGAAAGAACGGCAACACAGGCAATTTTCTCAGGACGTGAGTGCAACACTGAGGTCACAGCTTGTAACACTCAGAACCACAGTCTGAAGTCCCCAAGAAGTGGCCACAATATTTCCTACGTGTGAACTAAATAAGATACAGAATTGTTTCGGGGAGATTGCTACCAAACTGAGGGGGAAAAACTGAAACTAGAAATAATATAATCTTCTCTTGGCCAGGAAATTGGCTGATGTTGCCGGACATGGTGGCATGCATTTGTAATCTCAGCACTCAGGAGACTGAGGCAGGAGGATTGCCTCGAGTTCAAGGCCAGCCTGAGCTCCACAGTGAGTTCTCCGGGCCAGCCTGGACTACAGTGAGACGCAGGCTGATGTGAAATAGCTCTGCTCTCCCGCTCCCGATAAACAAGGGGACTGAATTTGGCATTAGTGGAACTGGTCTGTCTTCTCTCTCTCCCCCTCCCCACCCCCAGCACCAGCCAGGCTGAGCCCCAAGCCTGCAGGCCAGGCCCTGGGCACAGGGGCAGCAGGACAGTGGCCTTGGTTGCTAAGCAGCCCCTTTGTTGGGGGCGGGACCCTGAGCCACTTCCTTCCAGAGGCCAAGTCCTGTGCAAGTTAAATGATGCTCTCAGGCCAGGGAGCTGCCCCACCTCCCAGGCAGGTCAGAGCCCAGCCCAGCACGGTCCACACAGCTTTGCAGTCTTGCTTGAATTGCCCACAACAAGCTAAGAGTCACGTACTCTCGGAGAAAACAGCTGCAACATTCATAAGGGCTGAGGGCCGATGCTGGGGTAGATAAGGTCCCGCATCAGAGTGGGAGGCGGGCAAGTGCTGTAACACTGTAGATCTGCACCCAGGTGCAGGCCCAGCAGCCCTCCCTGGGCTGGGGCCCTCATGGCCCTTGAGGTGGACTCCCTCCTCCCATCAACGCATTGCTTCTACTGGTTTTTTTTTTTCCTAAACTACGGAATGTTAAAAGTTCACTGTAAAAAAAAAATATCAGAAAACATAGCTAAGGAAAAAGAAGAAAACAAAGAACACGTCCAATTCCCTAAATGGACACAATCATCTCAACATTTAGTGCCTCCTCCTTTGGTCTTCTTCAGATAGACAGACAGACAGGTAGGTATTTTTATGTGATTAGTCATAGATTGCCCTTTTTATCCACTTAGCATAGCATAAGAAGTACTTTTTTCTCAGTAAACGTTCCTCTTCATCACTACTTCTCGGAGTGTGGTTTGCGAACCCCCTGAGGTCCTCAAGCCCCGTTCGGGGAATCTTCTGAGTCCAAACTATCTGCCTAATAACACTCAGACATCATTTGCTTCTCAGTCCTATCCCTGGTGAATCGGGGAGGCGTCCAGAGGCTGTGAGATGTGTGATATCCCCGTAGGCTGAAGGCGGAGGCAGACGCAAGGATCCGCTGGCTTCTGTCAAGCCAGGCTAATATTAAGAGATTTGCAAAAGTATAAAGTAGCCAGGCGCGACGGTGCACGCCTGTAATCCCAGCAGTCTGGGAGGCTGAGACAGGAGGATTATGAGTTCAAGCCCCGCCTGGGCAAATGACAGACTTTGACAAGATCCTATCTCAGCATAAAAAAGAAAAAGACTATGGGTGTAGCTCAGTGCAAGCCCTTGGTTCAATCCCCAAGTGCCAAAAAAGCAAGCAAGAAAGTGTAAAATCATGCCATTCCTCCCATTTTTTTGTTTTAGAAACTGTAGTTATTTTTCAAAAATATATATTTGCTGGGAGAACATGAAGTGGATTTATTATTTCAAGTGAATTAATAAATTCACTTTCAGATTCAGTTGTTCAGATTCTTTCATTCCTATTTTAAACATGCTAACTGTTGATAGCTCCGGCCCCTATAAACAAAAACTTAGATTTTTAATAGATGTAAGAGAGTAAAGCGAGGCTGAGACTGGTGGTTTGGGGGCACCTGCTGCACAAGACCAGTCTTAATGACCGCATGGTACTCCTTTGTGACCCTAACTCATCCGCTTGTCCCTTTATGGCAGACCTGTGGGTGGTTTCTAACTTTTTGCTTCTATAAAATAGCAGCACAACTCAGTGTGTTCCTCTATAAACTTCTTGCCATGAAAGAAAACAGAAATGAACGAGTAGTGGAGGGGGAGGGGGCATTTTCAAGATGAATTACATTACGCAAACTGTGTCGAGGAATATAAAGTTGAAAAAAGTGCGCAGGAAATATACATGTACGTACATGCCCATCATGTTTTCACAGAGAGGCTGATCCCCTCTGTAAAGAAAGGAAGCAGGGGCTGGGGATTTAGCTCAGCGGCACAGTGCCTGTCCGGCAAGTGCAAGGTCGTGAGTTCGATCCCTGGTACCGGAAAAAAAACAAAAAACAAAAAATAAAGAAAGGAAGTAGTACTTTCTCTTCTGCTTTCTGTGAGTACTTACAAAATCCCACCACATTTTACACCAGGGTTACCCACAATGCCATACTCTTCGGCTGCCCTTACAGAAATCGGGAGGGTTGGAACCTTAAGGAACTGGATTTCTGTTAAAAAATAATTTCAAAAATTGAGGTTTGTTTTAACAAGTCAAATACTAAAAAATTCTGCACTTTGTTATTTTTAGACAGTGCCTTGCTATGTAGCTGAGGCTGGCCTCAAACCCACAATCTGCCTCGGTCTCCTGAGTGCTGGAATCAACAAGCTGCAGCCTTACACAGACCTGAGAATAGCTCTGTAGGAGACTTCTGAAGTAGATGCGCCTAGCTACTGGACGTCTTATTTTTCGTCCTTGCAGTGCTGGGGATTGAACCCAGGGCCTCCCACATGCTAGGCAAGCGCTCTACCACTGAGCTGTGACCCCAGTCCCTGCCCACGCACCTGTAACTGTTTTTTGTTTTTTGGTTTTGTGATTGTTAACTGATGTCGCTGAGTCGTCTCACTGACATGTTACCCGGAGTATATTGGAGCTCCGCTCTCTCTCTCTCACTTTCCATGATACTGAAGATTATTATTCTTAAATTTTTTTCTCATTACTTAGATTAAGCAATATATTTTGTTTCTTGTGAATGGCTTATGTATATCTTCTGTCCATGGGAGAGAGGGTCTTACTGGCTCTTGGAATACTGTATGCATTCTGGATACAAATCTTTCATCTGTTATATTTTTTGTTGTTGTTGTTTTGTTTTGTTTTGTTTTGTCTTTTTGAGCAGGGTCTCGCTGTGCAGTTCAGGCTGGCCTTCAGCTCACTTTGTAGCCCAGGTTGATCTCGAACTTGCAATGATCCTCCTGCCTCAGCCTCCCGAGTGCTGGGATTACAGGCGTGCGCCACCACACCCGGCTTTCATCTGTTATATAGTATAAATATTGTGCTCCAGTATGCAGCTCGCCCTTTAATTTCATTTAGGTGTCTCATTCTAGGATGAGACCTTAATAACTGGAAAATTTTATTCTAATCCATTAATTATTTCCTTGATGGGAGATTCTTATCCTGTTTCACAAGCCGTTCCATACTGGTATGATTTTTTAAATGCTCTCCATTTTCCTCTAATATACTAGCAATACACTAGCAGCTTTTCTTTTTCTTAGAACTTTTCTTTTTTTTGTATCAGGAATTGAACTCAGGATCTTGCACTTGCCAGGCAGGCGCTGTGCCACTGAAATCTTTAATCCATTTGGATTAATTTTGCTCTGAGGTGAGGCCTTGGCTGTCAACCTGGGAGCCATATGGCTCAGGAGGGGAGGCGAGCTACATTTCAGGAGTTCAGAGGAGCTAACAGCATCCCCAAGAAAGTGACAAGACACCTGCCCATTTGTGTGGCCCTTAAGTGGCTCTCACATCCCTTCCCTCTTGAGGGACTGTGGCAGATGCAGGCAGAGGAGACTTTATGATCCCGTTTTACCATTACAGGAAAATAAGAGCCAGAGAGATTGAATGGTAAGCCCAGGGTTCCATGGAGCAGTGAGGGGTACAACCAGACATCCTGCCTGCAGGTCAGACGCTGCCACATCTCAGGCTCTGACCTCTGGGTCATGCCGATGTCCCTTTGGTGGGAAAGGGCACCTGGCCTAAGCCTTTTCCACCTCTGCGTCCCCACTGTGGGGAGGACAGGCTGGAAAATGCCCCTGCGCAGGCCCGGAGGGTGCAGCCTGAGGCACCCGGGTTCCCTCCCACCCACACCCCTCCTCCCTGAGCGGCTGGGTGGAGGGCAGACGTAGGGGTGAGTCAGGCAGGGAGGGAGCACTAAGCCACAAACAAGCGGGACCACAGTCAGCCTTTTGCCGGGTCACATGACCTCCCGTGGGGGCTCTGCCTGAGTGGCTCTACCTTCAAAATTGCATGATCTAGGCCTGCAGATTTCATCTGCTGGATTCACACAAGCAGGAACCGAGGGCAGAAAACCTTCAGCAAGGTGGTGGACGGCGAGGGAGAGGGTCGTGACCACCAGCCTCTGGGGGGTGGGCAGCCACACGTTTCAATTCTGCCACTTTGGCAGGTACCCGGTGTACCCATGGCTGGGCCTTCATCCTTCCAGCTCCAAACTGAAAGGACATCCAGGATGCAGGACTGTGGAGCTGGGCTTGATCTTAGGGACAGGCACTTTCCAGGTCCTCCGGAAAGGGCACCCCCTGAGACTGACCGTGACTTGTCCAAGTGCCCCCTCCAGGGACGCTTGGGAAAGACATCCCATCTCCTGGATCTGGGGCACACTTGCTCTGTGGACGCTCACAAAGCCCCAGGGCCACCTACCTGCTCCAGGGGGATGACAAGGAAGGAGCCCCCTCCTGCGCTCTCTGTGACGATGGCCAGGAAGCGGGCGTTGACGGCGCAGAAGTGGTTGTCGTGCACATTCTTGGTGATGGGGATCCCGTCGAAGCAGTGCTCCCGGTTGGCCACCTTGCCATAGACGTTCCGGAACTTGGAGCTGCGGTACTGCGGACGCCAGGACATCTGAGGGCCAGAGACACAGGGTCAGAAGGGTCACAGCTTCCTGAAGAGCCTGGGCACCGGGGACAGGGCTGCTCCTCCAGTATGCTGGAGGTAAGGAAGCCAGGGAGTGGGCAGAGGGGCCAGGAAATGGCCTGTCTCAGGCCCACTATGTGCCCAGCCCGTACTGCAGGACTGGCACTATAAAACACTACAGAACAGAGACTGGCATGGGGGCATTCACACACTTCCTGCTTTGGTGGCCACACCCAACTCTCTTTCCAGAAAGATCACAGGATCCTTTAACTACCAAGGAGCGAGCCATGTGACAGAAAAACTGACCGCACACAGGGACAACGTGTGCTCGGTGTTAGGGGCACAGGCAGAGGGCTGGGGCAGTCACAAAGATGGAGAACAATGGCAGTGTCAGGATGGAGACCAGCGTGTCCCGCTGTGAGCAAAGAAGCAGGTTACCAGCCGTTCTCAGCTCTGCCTCTGATTTCTTCTAGAGCTTCCCAGTCACCCCCAAAATCTAAATCATCGTCATCACCGTCATCGATACCTCCACTGCCGCCATCATGATCTGCACAGAGGTTAAGCATCTTTCCCAAGGTTGCTGGATGAAGTTACGCTGAGCCCTGGACGGGGCCTGGTGTGCCACTGCGGACCCTATGACCTCGGGCCAGCCCTCCTCACTCGGGCGTCCAGCTCCTCAGCAGGACAGCACCACCGGGTCCCACGGTAAAACCCCAGGTGGTCACTCAGGGTCCCTTTTGTGGCACAGATGATGTTTTTAATCTTAGTAGTCATGTGTGGATTTTAATTTGCATCAGAAAAATATGATGTGCATGACACATCCATGATTTCACAGAAACTACTGTTAATGAGAAGAATTTTTTTAAAAAGGTGAATCAATTCAAAGAAGAATATGCCAAGCATGGTAGCACACACCTATAATCCCAGCACTCCAGGGGCTGAGGTAGGAGGATCAGTGTGGCTACATAGCCACACCATGTCTCAAAACAGAAAGAAAGAAAGAAAGAAAGAAAGAAAGAAAGAAAGAAAGAAAGAAAGAAAGAAAGAAAGACAAATAAGGGTGGCTTGGGGACCTGGCAGAAGTTCAGTTGGAGGGAAGTTCTGGGAACCATTCCGTCTGGTCCAGGTAGAATCTTCTAGAATCCACAGTTGCCACAGGAGAGAGGTTGCTCCTTCCAGGCCCTGCTCCCTGGCGGTGCCTGCCAGCCTGGAGTGCCTGCTCCTCCCCTCTCTGACCAGCTGGCCTTGGCGTTCAGGGCCCTGGCAGCCTCTGCAGAACTCCACACTGAGTCTGTGACCACGGGAAGTGACAGCAGTGCCCTGTGAATCCCCACTGAGGTCTGTGCTCTTCTTGGGCCCTGGAGGCCAAGGCAGCCAGGCCAGGTACCCCGCCTGGTGGCACTCAGCAGCCCTGCTTGAGGGAGCCCATCTAGTGGGGGACAGACCCGACCCAGCCACGTCTGGCCGTTAGGGACAATAAGTCCTCTCCCCAGCACCTACAGTTTACACAGGCCTCAGAGCTCTGCCCGGGACAGGCGCTACTTCAGGGTGTCCTGGGCTGTGAGGGGAGGGTCACTCACACTGACCAGTGCCACACAGACCAACGGTCACATCCCACCCCTGTTAGAGACGAGCTGTGTGACCCCCGGCAAGCCACTTCATGTCTCTGTGCTTCCTCCACCAGCACCTATGTAAAGGAATTGACGCGGAGCTGCCCGCCAGGCTCAGCAGGGGAAGCGGGCCTGACAGCACTCCTGAGCCCCTGCATCACACGTTTACCCCAGGTGCCCCGGCCTGTCTCCGACCCCCGACTCTGCCCTCTTCTCCTCTGCCCACTGCTCCTTCCTCTCCCTTTCCTGCCCTTCCCCACCCTCTCCAGCTCTCAGTCCCCAGGGCACAACTGCAGCGGAGGTGCCTGTGTGAGGCAAAGGCCCCTGGCGGACACCCGGCCGTGCTTCTCCCATCTCACACTGTCCCCCCAGCCCAGGGGGACCCCTGCGCTGGACGCTGCACTCACAGCCGCACTGTGCCCTGGGGACGGGCCCAGGTAGGTCTAGTAGAGGAGCAAGCGGCTTCTGGGAGGTCTCCCCAAGAGTGCGGTCCCGGAAGCCGGGCCTTGGAGGGGTCAGGCAGGGAGGCCGGGGGCCCTGGGCCCTTTGCCGGTCTGGCATCCATCTGCCGCTCTTCCGCTCTGGTCCCCATCCTTCTCCCCTGGTCCCTCTTTCTTCCTTCCTTTGTGGAACTATTGCCAAGGAATTTGCAAAACTCCTGACTCCTGCCTTCTTATCCCACCACACGTCTTTCCTACAAAGAAGCAGTCTCCCACGTTAGTGTGTCACCATGATCATATTTAAGAAAGGTGACAACAGTTCCTCCGGACCATCTGCTGCCCAGCCGTGTTCCAACGTCCCCAAAGTGTCTTTCACAGCTATTTCAGTGTCTGAACCGGGATTCAACTAGGATTCAGTACAAGGCTGGTGTGTGGCACTGGGGGTCACAGCCTCTCCCTTGCCTCTTTCAGAGCACACATATCTTCTGGCATTTAACTGCTTGTCTTTTTTGTTTTAGAGACAGGGTCTTACTATGTTGTTCAGGTTGGCCTTAAACTCACTGTTGAGCCAAGGTTGGCCTCAAACTCATGGCGATCTTCCTACCTCAGCCTCCCCAGGGCTGGGATTACAGGTAAGCATCACTACACCCAGCTGGCCTCTTGTCTTTCATAAGGGTGAGAAAGTCAGGAGAGGGAACGTGTGAACAGGCCCCTGATTGGACTGGTGACAGAGAAGGGACACTGGCCAGTCCTGAGGGTTTGTCCTGGAGGGTGGAGGCCTGGAAGGCAGGTCAGGCCCCGCGCACAAGGGACCTGCTTTCTGCTGCCTGCAATGAGCCTGAGCTCATCTGAGGTCAGGGGTGGAGAGCAAAGTGTCCTCCCTGTGCTGTCAGAGGAGACCACTCCCAGGCTGTAACTGGGGGCACTGCCTATACCTCCAGGGACATCAGGGTGGGGGCAACAGAGACGGGACCTGGAAGTGCAGCCCTTTGCTCTCTTCCCTCAAAGCCTGATGCTTGGCTCTTGGTGGATTTCCTGTGGCTGATTCTAGTGAGAACAGTCTCATTCTCTCTCTTTCTCTCTCTCTCTCTTTCTCTCCAACCTTTCAGGACCAATGAACCAAGCTTGGGCCACCCCTGAGCTCCCCCATAGGAAGGCCTTTCATAATGATTAGAGCCACCTGAGACAGAGAAGGGAAGTAGCGAGCTTCCCATCCCTGGAGGACTTCCAGGTTTTGGTGAGTGACCTCTGGATCAGGGTCACCTGGAACAAGGGTGGAATTCAATGGTTCCTCCGCTTTACCAGAGAGCCCCTGTGGCAACAGAGACGAGCCTGGGGACTAGAGAGTACCTCCTGGTTCAACCTGCCATAGATGAGCACCTTCCTCCTCCATGAACCCAACCCCCTACATGGATGGTAACCCACAGTGACCACAGCTCTCACATGGAAACTGCCACTTTCTGGGGCATCCCAGAGCTGAGTGATGCCTGACGAATGGAAGCTTTAGGTCTGTCTGTTTTCTCTCTCCAGTTCTAGACAGAAAGTGCCCAGGGCATCTGACTTCCGGTCCCTGCAGAGCCCCTGCCGCCTCAAGCCTGGCCCAGGGCTCCAGGAGAGCTCGAGCCCCAGGGTGACACGCCTCCTTCGGGAGCCTCACCCCAGGATTGTGACTCCACTAGCCGAGGCTTTGAGCTTCATTTTCGATGGAGCCGAGGCCCACCTGCCCACCAAGTCTCCCCCAGACACCTCCCAGCCGCCGGCTGGGCAGAGCTGCGCAGACACTCTGACCCCACAGACGGTATGCAGCACACGAGTGAGTGCCCGATTTGGAGCTCAGAGGGCTCAAAAGACTTGCCCAGAGTCACCGCTGTCCAAGTGGCAGAGCCGATGTTTCAGCCAACAACTTTGGACTCTCAGTCAGCCGTTGTTTCCCGCGTCTGGCATCTCCTTCAGCCCCTCTACCCAAAATCTTAGCTCTCTCTGTTCGGTCTCTAAATCTGAGCATGACACAGAAGTGTAAGGAAACTGTAGTAAGCAGGGTCTGAGGAGTCAACAGTATCCAAAAGTTTCTGTCTTGGCTCTGCCACTTCCTAGCTGTGCAACTTTAGACCAGTTTCACAACCTCTCTGAGCATTCATTTCCTTATCCGTACAGTGAGAATGACACCCAGCTCCCTGGGTATAATGAGGCGGCCGACTGTGAGGTGTCTCACAAGGTACCTGGTGTACAATGGGTGTTTGCCAAACACTGATCCTTCCCTCTCCCCTTCCTGTAAGGGCAAGGCTGTGACCTCAGAGAGTCAGGCTTGGCCCGGAGGAGGAGCAGGCTGGGCTGGGCTGCGCAGAGTGTCAGAAAGAGGCAGGGAGAGGCTTTAGCCCCCAGATGTGCACAGCTGCAGGCCTCCCCCTGGGCCCCGGCCAGCTTGTTCTCCCTCCGACAAGAGCCTGGAAGGAAGAAGCACTCATTTCACAGCCGAGTGGTCCTTTTAGCCTCTCAAGAAATAGAAGCTGGCGTTTCTTCCCCCTCTGAGCTAATTACTGTGTGCGCTCCACACGGAAGCAAACTGCATCCTGTCCTCGGCTCTCAAAGATGATTTATTGTGGCCAGCAGGAGCATCTTCTAGATGATGATAACAAAAATTCAGTTCTTTAACTGGAACACAAAACGTTACACAGGCAGTTGAGGTTTTTTTGGTTTTGTTTTGTTTTTGTTTTTCCTGGCTTTGGCTCAAGTGAGGGACTGCTGCGCTGTCTGTCCTGCCACTGGGCTTGGGAGGAGCCCCAGGTACCTCTTGGATCTGCCAATGGTCCCTTGGGGGATTCACCCCATCCTTATCCACTGGAGAAAGAAAGGCCAGTTCTGGTGTCTGATCACTAGTTGTGTGCCCGGGGACAAGCCACCTCCCTTCACCAGGGTCAGCGTCCCCTTCCCTGAAATG